TTAAACACACACACACAAGGGGGATACTTTTCTGGTATATAAAATAATCTCTAGCAGTCTTAGAAGTCTAAAAGTAATCGATGATGATAATTTTTTTTTCTTTTTGAGACAGCATCTCACTCCATCGCCCAGGCTGGAGCCCAGTGGCACAATCATGGCTCACTTCAACCTTGGCCTCCCAGACTCAAGCAATCCTCCTACCTCAGTCACCCAAGTAGCTGGGACTAGAGGCATGTGCCACCACACTGGACTAATTTTTGTATTTTTTTTTTTTTTTTTTTTTTTGTAGAGACAGGTTTTTATCATGTTGCCCAGGCTGATCTTGAACTCCTGGGCTCAAGCAATCTGCTTGCCTTGGCCTCCCAAAGTGTTGGGATTATAGGCATGAGGCACCACACCTGGCTGATATTAACCAATATTTATTGAATAATATATACAAATCATTATGCTTAGCACCAGAAATACAAAGAAGTATTAGACTTAACATTCCTGTACTACAATTAGACTGCAAACTGTGGTCAAATAATTGGGCCACAACATTTAACTAACGAGTATCCTATACAACCAGTTTTAAAAGGTGAGCAGTAGGAACTAAACATAGCGAAAAAGAATAAAGGAGGAAATCCTGGGAATGCATATTAATATTTTAACTTATGACTTGTCTCACCTTTTATAGCAGCTTACATTTTTTTAAACAGTGGGCATAACATCTGAGTGGAGGTTTACAGAAACTACAAGGAGTCAGGGCTGATGTTCACCCCATATTTCAGACAACGAAAGTGAAGCTTTCAAAGAGGTTACCCAACTTGCCTAAGATCACAGTTCAGAGAACTAGTTGGCCAACTTTGTCCAGAGCTCACTTCTACCACACTAAATTCTGAATTATCAGTGCTAAAGTGAGAACTTGAAGGGACCTCAGACATCTCCTAATGGAGTGTTTCCCTAACCAACCTGATAAACTTTCTGGGGTATACCTTAAAAACACATTCCCACAACCCACCGCAGACCTCCTAAATAATTTATAGGAGAGAGGTTTTGCATTTTAACAAGAGCTCTCAAGAAGTGATTCTAATGAGAAGTTATGCTTAGAAAACACTGTACTATGTCTATATGTCCAGTATGCCAGACATTTGGCTGCTTAAATTTACATTGACTGAAACAGCAAAATTAAAAATTGAGTTCTTCAATTTTTAGTTCCACTAGCTACATTCCAAGTGCTCAAGAGCCACATGTGGCTAGTGGCTACCACAGCTGAACAGCAAAGATACAGGAAATTTCCAACATTGCAGAAAGTTCTATTGGATTGTGCTGATACTAGATCAACCATTCAATTGCCGTGAGAAAACTGAGGCACAGGATCTCGTCCATCAAGGCCATGGAGCTAGTCAGCCGCAGAATTGCGACACCAACCTCACTGCCAGCGCCCCTCCTACTGTATCACTTCATCCTATCTCATATTCAGGGTTTGTTCAAATGGGAATTGTTTCCTTTTCACCTTTTCTTGTGGGTTCCAGCAAAGCAAGAAGAGAAATTCTAAATTTGTGGGTTAAAAAAACCCCCAAGAACCTAAGAAAAAGTTGATTAAAAAAAGATTAAATCAATCTGCAATTTTTGCATAAAATCAAGTCATCCTGGACAGTTAATACTGTGGTATGAGGAGACATAGCTTATCTTGCATTAACTATTGTAGTCCTTTCTCTTTTATTGTCCTGATGCTTTTATTCTCTTTCTTGAATTCGAAACCCTCCGACTAATGATACTAAGTGTGAAAGGTTAAATCTTACTTAGCAAACATTTTAAAGATGCAAAATTGAGAAACAAAGACCAACCCAAAGAATGTCACTTGTTTAATGTTAGAATGTGGTAACTCAGACTACTGAGCACTCTTCGCTTTTAGTAATTCAGTGGTTTAGCATTTACACTAATAAGTTGTTTTCACTTTTAAACTACAGTTTATGGCTTCCTTTGACCCTGTGTTATGTTTGAAAACTATTTAAAATAAGTTGTTTTAATTTTTAACATAATTGAGGGGCCAAAAGCAGCACTGAAACATCTAGAAAGATTTAGGTAATAAGGTCAACATATAACCAGCTTTAAAAACTGCGGCAGTGTCTTTAAAAATAAAACCAGTTGTTCCTGTCTAGTATGTTTAGAATGCAAATGTCTCCAGAGTCAGTCAACTTAAGTCATGACAGTTCATGTTTAAAGCTGGAAAACAACTTGGAACTCCTTATTAAAATGTTAAAAACCCAATAATTACAGCTCTATTGATTCTTTTTCACGAGCTAAATTCTAGTGAGTAGATTTAGAGGAAATATTTTATGTCAAACATTACATAAAATTAGAAATTGGATGGTTAAAAAACATGACCCAACATAAGGCACTATGGACAAATACTTATTCAAGACAGATGTTGCCATAATTTGCAAGGTACTCACAAGCATTCAGTATGGGGTTCTACATAAATAGAAGATACTTGTTATTTAGAGAAGGAGGTGGTGCAAAGAAAAAAAAAGATATTTTCTTTCTGAACACTCTGGTGTTGAGGTAAACAAATGAAAAATAAAATAACAGTCTAAGTACACAAGAGCAAAGTAACCGTCTCTAAGTTATAAAAGCAGGAGAGAAAAATCGAGTCTAACCTTTGAAACAGGAGACTGGGGCTTAAGGTGAAATTTATTTGCTGGCTTTTAGATCAGAGGCATTATTTCTACACTGTATCTATTATGTCTTGACCCCCACTTGACTGTATTAGAGAGAAACGAGTACATCCAAGATTCTCAAGCCAACACAACTACTTTTGGAGGCAGCATAGCTCATCAAATGAAGGAGTATGTTAGAAAAACATCCAGTGACAATAGTTTCAACTGAACTGTCTCAACCACCCACTGATAAATACTGGTGCATGTGAGTATAAGGAGAATTAAAAATATTGTAAACTCTAAACAAGTTTTAAAATGGTCTATAAACTTCAAATCTCATAAAAGAGAGAGTTACTCGAAAAAAAAAGGAAGAGTAAAAGCATTTGGAAGAGGGGCTCTTGGAGGAAAGACTAGCTTCCGAGGAACATAGGTCAAACGGGTGGGGGCGGTAGTTCTTCTAAACATCCCCTCTACCAGGTGATGCTTCTAACAACTTCAGTACTATCCCTAACAGGCAATTTTAGACATCCTTAGAAGTGATTTAGGAAACAAGCAAATGTGCTTTGTGATACAAGAACTGCGGAGATGATGTTGAAATTTCTAACTTCAAAAAGATGCACTAGTGAGAGAAAACAGACATGAAATTCCCATACTGTAATTCTTTAGCTTCCTGTAGAAAAATATCATCTTTAGGCATGTAAGCCAGCACACTTGACACTGACCTAGCAAAGTTTTCGGCTGGCCCTCACTATCTCTCAGCTCCCCCTTCCTCCACTTCCCTGCTGTTCTTTCCTGGCACACAAAATATAGGCCAATGAGCAGTGGGTGGGTGAGGAGGATGTGAGAGAAAATTTGAGAAGTAAAAAAAGGAGCAACTTAACCAGGACATGAATGAGACAGAAGGGTCTAATAAGGGTAGGCAAACAACAATTAGAACTACTGAAAGATGGGCTTTCCCCGACAGTAGTGAGCGCTGAGTGCTTTTAGGGGTTTAAGCAAGGGCCAGGCTACCTACCACTTGTCAGAGAGGCTGCAGAGGGAACGGCTGCTTTGGATGACCTCTAATGTCTCTTCCGACTCTGAAATGTTAGGATTCTTATTTCACAACGGAGAAGGTAAGTCATAGAAGCCCACTGACTTGGAACCCTTTTAAATATGCAACCTTGGAGGCTGCTTCCCAAACACCACTCCCACCTCTCCCGCGCGTGCCCACCCCGCCCCCTTTCAATATTTCCACCTCCACGTGCAAATTGCCTCACGGTACTGGCCCCAAGGCGGATAGACACCTCCCCCTGCAAAGCACCAAAACTATGCTCGCCCTCCTCCCAAAGAAGTGAGGACTACTCCACTCTCCCACCCAGGGTGGCTAAAAAAGGAAAAGTCTGAGATCCAGCGTTTCCCCCCTAGCCAGAGCAGGGGACGGGGCGGGGGCGGGACGCAGAGAAAAACTTTCTTCTCAAATTTTTCTTCCAGAGGGTGGAGATGGAGAGAACCCCAACGAGTCCGGGGCTGACGGGGTGGGGGGAGGGGAACCCCTGAATCGTTTAACGGCTGGAAGGGGGAGGGGGGCTCCGGAGGTTGAGGGGGCGTGGGATGGAGAAGCAGGCCAGGGAGCCGGGTCAGGGAGCTGCGGGGTTCCTGGGGTCGGGGAGCTGCAGGCGTCCCCCCCACCTGGCACACAAAGCGGCTGCCGCGCTCGGCTCTCACCAGATCCTTTGTGTTTTCCATCAGGGCCTCATGGGTAGGGGTTGTCCGTGCTCCCCGAGCCCGCGGCGCCCCCTCCCCGGGCTGGGGGTAGGTGCCTCTCCCCGGGACTGCGGCGATACAGGGGGCCCCCGGCTGGGCCCAGACCGGTGGCGGCTGCGGCAGCCCCCGGATTTCCCCCCTTTAACTCGGGTGGCCCCAGGATATCAACAACATTAGCATAGCCCTCCCTCCCCAGCGCGCCTGCGCCGTGACCCGCGCCCCGATTGGCCCACTTCCCTACATACCCTCCTCTCTCGCTTCCAGCGTGGGACCCTCTGCAGGCTCCGTACTCCACGGACTGTACCAAGACGAAGGGTGGAAAGCTTATCGGGGCTTGTGTCAAGTCCAGTGGTTAAAGTCAGGAGGAAAAGTAGAAGTTTCATTCAGTCGTCCCAGTGTATAATCGGGCTTTCTTGCGCTCCTTTCAATATGTTGCAGCTGCGAAGTTGTGTTGAAAAAATTTTCCACTCCAGTCACGCCGCTTCCCCCTACACCCGGAAGATTGGCCCTCCCGGAGGAACTCCCACACGGGGCGGGACCGGCTAGGGGAGTGGGAGTTACGTAGAGGGAGGGAGTGCTGGTCACGTGGCAAGGGGCTGCGCAAGCTCCTTCCCGCCCCCTGGGCTTCGGCGGCGGCGGACAGCGAGTCGCCCGGGCGCATGCGCAGCGAGGTTCCACGTGAGCGCCTGCGTTTCTCCTCAAACCCAACGATGCCGCCGGAACGGAAGAGACGAATGAAACTGGATCGGAGAGCCGGAGCAAAGCCGAAGCGGAAGCCCGGAAGGAGGCCAGACTGGAAAGCCGGAGCCGGACCGGGCGGGCCGCCCCAAAAGGCTGCCCCTTCATCCCAGCGGAAACCGCCGGCCCGGCCGAGCGCGGCAGCCGCTGCGATCGCAGTCGCGGCAGCCGAGGAGAGACGGCTTCGGCAGCGGAACCGTCTGACGCTGGAGGAGGACAAACCGGCAGTGGAGCGGTGCCTGGAGGAGTTGGTCTTCGGCGACGTCGAGGACGATGAGGACGAGCTGCTGCGGCGTCTGCGAGGCCAGCGGGTGAGGGAATCCGCCGCGCGCGGTCTGGGCGCGCTCGGGCGGGGCGCGCGGTGGGCGGTGAAGCTCCGAGGGGCGGAGCCTGGGCGACCTGCGGCGGCGGGGAGCGCTCAGGTGGGAGGGAGCCCGAGAACGCGGGTGCCAGGGGTCGCAGCTGCGGGTCCCTGGTCTCCCTGCGCCGGACTGAAAGTCTTTGGAGGGCGGGGACCGCGCCTTTCTCCGCCCCCGAAGGCGCCGCTGCTCGGGTATCTGCTTTGCGAACTGTGGTCGTGAGCATCTTTCGCTGCTGCCGCTCATCTAGCCTCTCCCCAAACTGAGTGTGGTCGTTTGATCACCTGCCTCAATTCCTTGTGATTCAGGAATTCCATTTGGTTAATGGAATCAGTTAGTTGGCACAGGCCTGGGCATCTGGGTTTTAACTATCTTCCCCATGTGACAATGAGACACACCGTGTTTTGAGACTGATCGTGTATTCGTCCATTTAGCAAAATATTAGTGAACCTGTTGGTTGCCAGATACCCTTTCTGGCAATGGCAAGCCCTGCGTGATTGATCTTACTTTTTGCACACATTTTGCCATACCTTTAGTTCTATATCTGGCTTTTCTTGAGAGATAGAATCCTAGACATTGTTCTAGGCATTGGAGGACGCACAGCAATGGACAAAACTGCCAAAAATCCCTGCCCTTTTGGAGCTTAGGCTCAAGTGATCCTCCTGCCTCAGCTTCCCAGGTAGCTGGGACCACAGGTGCACACCACCTCACCCAGCCAATTTTAAAAATGTTTTGGCTGGTCGCTTTGGCTCACACCTGTAATCTCAGCACTTTGGGAGGCTGAGGTGGGTGGATCAGGAGGTCAGGAGATCGAGACCATCCTGGCTAACACAGTGAAATCCGGTCTTTACTAAAAATACAAAAAATTAGCCTGGTGTGGTGGCACGTGCCTGTAGTGTCAGCTATTGGGGAGCCTGAGGCAGGAGAATCGCTTGAACCCAAGAGGCGGAAGTTGCAGTGAGCTGAGATGGCACCACTGCACTCCAGCGTGGGTGACAAAGTGAGACCCCATTTCCCCCCTAAAAAAAAATCTGTAGGGACGACGTCTCCTTATGTTGCCCAGGCTGTCTGGAACTCCTGGGCCCAAGCAGCCCTCCCACCTTGACCCAAGTGTTGTGATTACTGTGATGAGCCATGTGCTCTGCCCGTCTAAAGTTTCTTAAGAAGGTAGGAAGTCAAAAACGGTTTAGGAAAATGGAGACAAATCTTTGACTAGTTTGCCTCCTAGTCCTGTAATTTCTGTAGTTTTGGCATTTCTCCTGCTTTTTTCATCTGTGGACTCACCTTTTGTTCTTGTCTTACTTGGTGTTGTCCTTTCTGTATGCTGAGTGTTGACCTTTTCTCCTTGACTGTTCCATCTTTTCTCACCTGCCCAGTCGGTGGTGCCATTCTCTGGTTTCTTCATTTTCTGCCCCTGCCTGCAGCATTTACAGTGGTAGCATTCCATCCCATTATTTCATCAGAAGGCAGTAGAAGAAACATTCTATGAGCCATTTGGCTATAAGGCTTGTGTGTCTGCAATCATGGGATAGGAAAAAAACAGTGCTTGAGGGTGTTTTGTCTGCTATAGGTTCAAAGACATGAAGACTCGGGTGACTCAGAAGTGGAGAATGAAGCAAAAGGTAATTTTCCACCTCAAAAGAAGCCAGTTTGGGTGGATGAAGAAGATGAAGATGAGGAAATGTAAGTTGCGGAACTTTTCTTCCAAATCCCTCTGGAGACTTTAAAAGTTATTTTGCAGATTTTAAAACCATTCTTTTTACAAATTTGTGATTATCTGAAGATTTGAAAACTATTTGCAAGTACAGAAAAGATCTCATGGTTCCTAATCCCACCACCGAGGGAGAACTGCTGTTAGCATGTTGTCATACTTTTCTGTCTCAGTATCCTCTTCTTTGCTCTGTACAGTAGCTAAGAGAATACAGTGTTTGAAGTCAGATCTCAGTTTGCCTCCTCATTTGGTCAGTTTCTAATTGACCATGGGCAGTTTGGAACCGACATTTTTTCCTTTTTGAAATGGGCACAATGGTAGTAACTATATCAGAAGTTTGTTGGAATTAAATAAAATAGTACATGTAGAACTTTTAGCACAGTGCCTGAAACTGAGTAAAGGCTAAAAAGAAGGTAGTAGGAACCGTCGTAGATGAGAATATACCGTATGCCGGATTTAACATGTTGACTTTTTCCATGTAAAATTACTTTGTAAGCGTTTCTCCCTACTTAAAAAAAATAGACATTTGAAAATGGCTGTGTTGTCCATTATGTGAATTAACCATAATTTATGTGGCTATTGTTGGGTAGATTTTCTTTTTCCTTTTTTAAAAAGAAGTTATTATTATTTTTTTGAGATGAAGTCTTGCTCTGTCGCCCAGGCTGGAGTGCAGTGGTGCAATCTTGGCTCACTGCAGCCTCCACCTCCCAGGTTCAAGTGATTGTCCTTCCTCAGCATCCCGAGTAGCTGGGACTACAGGGGGCACCACCACGCCTGGCTAATTTTTGTATTTTTAGTAGAGGTGGGGTTTTGCCATGTTGGCCAGGCTGGTCTCAAACTCCTGACCTCAAGTGATAACGACCTCCCAAAGTGCTGGGATTACAGGTGTGAACCACTGCGCCTAGCCTTATTTTTCCCTTTAAGTTTGTCAAGACCAGCTTAGTTGTAGAGACCCCAATGCAGGTGGTGCTGAAGGAATTAAGAAACAGAAACAAAGATAGAGTGCAAAAGTGGGATCAGAGTGCGACGTCAGGGGACTGACAGCATTTCCCAGCTGACAGCCCAGAGCAGACTCTGACCCATGTATTTATTCTTTGTGAATAAGTGATTATTTTTAATAAGCAGGTGCTCAGTGTTTCTTCATAGAATAAAGATAAACAGGCAAATAGTGCCTGATCACTACTAAAATAAAAATAAGCTAGAAAGCACTCTTTGTGAGTCAGCAATGGGGACAAGGTCATGTGTCCTGTGTTTTGGGAACTGGTTAGCGAGTGCATGACCAGTACGTATCACCTACTATTCTAGCAGTTTTCTGCTTGGGGATGGCTTGGTGTTCCTTGCCATCACTTCTCAGCAAACAGCATATACTCCGTCACACACTCGTTAAGACCTTTTCCCAACAAAATTAATGCTGATTATCTCAGCATTAATGTTTATCACATCTTTATGAATAAAACTTTGTTCATTTTCTAATTTATTGCCTTAAGAAGATTCTTTGAGGTAGAAGTACATGATCAAAGAGCACAGTTATGTTTTAAGGCTCTTGATAAGTACTTCCAGACTGCAAGCTGTGAGGTCCTACCAGTTTACCTTCCCATTGAAAGGTGTCAGTTTTAGTTTATTCTTAGAAGCAATGATTTATTTTTTTTTTTAGACTTTGTCATTTTGGTGGTGGGTACTATCTCTACTTAATTTATTTTGAGAAAACGTTTTTGTGTTTAGTCATTGTCATTTTGTTTTTTTTTTTGAGACTCTCAACCTTTCATCCAGGCTGGAGTTCAGTGGCGCGATCTTGGCTCACTGCAACCTCCGCCTCTCAGGTTCAAGCAGTTCTGCTTCAGCCTCCCAAATAGCTGGGACTATAGGTGCATGCCACCATGCCCAGCTGATTTTGTATTTTTAGTAGAGACAGGGTTTCACCATGTTGGCCAGGCTGGTCTTGAACTTTTGACCTCAAGTGATCCACCTGCCACGGCCTCCCAAAGTGCTGGGATTACAGACATGAGCCACCATGCCTGGCCTCATTTGTTATAAATATTCTTATTATGTCTTTGTCTATTGGAGACTTTTAAAATAATCTTGGTATATTAGTTCCTGAACATATTGAGAATTTCAAACCATTGTATGTTAGATTTATTGTAGGTTTTCCTCCAGCTTTCTGTGCATAGAAGTTTTAAATTTTTATATAGTCAATCTGTGAATGTTTTTCTTCATTATTTTTACTGCTGTTTTTAATAGTAAATAGTTCTTTATCAGAGACAGATGGTTGCCCATATTTTTACTTCGTAGTATTTTAAGGTTTGCTCTTTTTTTGAGTCGTAGTTTCACTCTTCTTGCCCAGGCGGCGGGAGTGTAGTGGTGCGATCTTGGCTCACTGCAACCTCTGCCTCCCGGGTTCAGGTGATTCCCCTGCCTCAGCCTTTCAAGTAGCTGGGATTACAGGTAACTGCCACCACACTGGACTAATTTTTGTATTTTTATTAGAGATGGGGTTCCACCACGTTGACCAGGCTAGTCTCGAACTCCCAACCTCCAGTGATCCGCCCATCTTGGCATCCCAAAGTGCTGGGATTACAGGCAATAGCCACGGCGCCTGGCTTTTTTTTTTTTTTGAGATAGAGTCTCACTCTTTTGCCCAGGCTGGAGTACAGTGGTGCCATCTGGGCTCACTGCAGCCTCTGCCTTCTGAGTTTAAGTAATTCTTCTGCCTCAGCCTCCTGAGTAGCTAGGACTACAGGCACATGCCACCACACCCAGATAATTTCTGTATTTTTAGTAGAGACGATGTTTTAGCATGTTGGCCAGGCTGGTCTCGAACTCCTGACCTCAAGTGATTCACCCACCTCAGCTTCCCAAAGTGCTGGGATTACCGGTGTGAGTCACCACGTCCAGCCTAAGGTTTGCTCTTTATTTATTTAACTCTTTGATTTACCTGGATTTATTTTGGAGAATTTCGTAAAGTGTGTGTAGATGAGTCAGGATCAATTTTCTCAAATACTAGCTCTCCAAAGTGGAAATTTGATGATCTGAAATATTAGAGACTACTTTTTTGTTTTAGGAAGAACAGAATATGTATATGAAATGTTCACATTTTAAAAATCTTGAACTATATTGTTTCATTAAACATTTTTCTCCCAGTGCTAAAAGCAGCAACTATTTATGTTAACTCTTTAAAAGTTATTTAAAATTTGCTGTTCTGTTTTCATAGGGTTGACATGGTGAACAATCGGTTTCGGAAAGATATGATGAAAAATGCTAGTGAAAGTAAACTTTCGAAAGACAACCTTAAGAAGAGACTTAAAGAAGAGTAAGTGTCCTTTTAAATGTGATTTACCAAGAGGTGTATATAACCATTGCGCAGTTGTTAACTGTTAACTGCTTCTTACGTAGTTTTCCATTTTGAAACAGTAAGAGCATTGTTATTATAGGCAGTGACTAAATTTCTGTAGTTTTTGGGGGAGGGGGGCAAAACAGAAACACAAAGAAAAAAAAAGTTTGGAAAAAAACTTAACAATCTTACCGCTCAAATGTAATCAGTGATAATATTGCTTACTTGCTTGTTCATTTGCGTATGGTAAACCATAATTTTATAATGTGAACATTTTCAAAAATTGTGAATGGCTGCCACCTGGGTTCAATTTTTTTTTTTTTTTTTTAATATTTTGTCATGTTTGCTTTATATATTTGGGGGATGTGTGTGCTTTCCCAATCTATTTGAGAGTAAGGTACAGATAATGTGACACTTTACCTATAAATTTGTCAATGTTCATCTCTTAAAATTTTAGGACATTTTCCTTCATATTCACAATACTATTGTCACACCTAAGAAAATTAATAACTTATAGCTAGTCCGTGTTAGTTTTTTAAATTGTCGTAAGGTGCATTCATTTTATTTGGATTTTATGTCCCTTAAATTTATTTTACTTATTCATTTTTTTCTAGATAGGTTCTCTGTCACCCAGGCTGAAATGGAGTCGTGCCTTCATGGTTCATGGCAGCCTCTACCTCCTGGGCTCCCTGTAGCTGGGGCTACAGGCATGTGCCACCTTAATTTTAAAAAGTTTTTGTAGAAATGGGGACTTACTATGTTGCTCCGATTGGTCTTTAGCACCTGGGCTCAAGAAATCCTCCCTCCTCAGCCTCCTGAGTAGCTGGGACTACAGATGCATGCCATCATGCCCAGCTAATTTGTATTCTCTTGTAGAGATGAAAGTTTTTCGACATGTCATCCAGGCTGGTCTTGAACCCCTGGGCTCAAGCAATTCGCCCGCCTTCACCTCCCAGAGTGCTAGGATTTCAGACGTGAGCCACTGTTCCCAGCCATACCTGTTCTTAAGTGGTCAGACCTATTGTCTTGTAGAATATCCCAAATTCTGAAATTTTAAAATTCTTTTTTTTATTGAGGTGAAATTCATGTAACAGTATTAGCCATTTACAGTGTAAATTTGGTGGCATTTAGTATTCAGACAGTTGTGCCACCACCTCTTCAATCTAGTTCTAAAACGTTTCTTTTTTTTTTTTTTTGGTTCTAAAACATTTTTATCACATCAAAAGAAAACTCACCATTAATTAGTCACTCTGCATTTCCTCTTCTCTCAATCTAATTATTTTGTTTTCTTTATGTTGCTTAACTTGTTCTGTCATCTGTATTTTCTGTTAAGTTGGGCTTTAAGGCTTGGTTAGAATTCAGTTTACATGTTTTGGTGAGGAGTATGTTAAGATGATGTGTACCAAGCACTGCCCCTCAAAGTCCAATTGTATCAGCCTCTTTCAAGTCTGATCTTTTTCTCAGCTTTGTACCAGAGTCTTATAAATGCCTTTGGGGAAATTCTTGGTGGTAACAGGGTTCATCTTGTTTATTTCCCTTCTCTGAGGTATCACAGTCCTATATGCTGTCATCCAGTTTCCAAGAAAAGTTGTTTCATATATTTTGTTCAGGTTTCTAGTTGTTTATGGCTAGTGGGCTTAGTTTG